GGGGGTTTAAATGGAGAGAAAATGTTTTGAGAAACGATGTACAAATGCGCTTTACACAATAGATGTGTGTATGGATTGTGATGAGAGTTGTATGAGCCCCTAATAAAATGATTTAAAAAAAAACTAAGGTCTTTGTGGCGATACCAGGTCCACTTGGAGGGGAGGACACGGATGGAAGGGCACAGAAGAGGAGGGCTTCTGGCATGTAGTCATGTGTGCCCAGTTGTCAACTATCAGGGTGCTCATCTCATCGCTGCTGACGCTGCACATCGTGTTTTCTTCGACGGATTTACATTTGCTTCTGCTCACAATTTTTTTTAAGGTTCCTTCTAACAGTCTTAGAAAAGCTCATTTTCTACAAATGTTCATTTTTTAAATTAACATTCAACTGGCCTCATAAGAATGAGGGATTTCAGTGACCATGAAAAGTAATGCCTAAAAACCAATACATATTTGCTGTGCACTGTGCAACTGTAAGGGGTAATAGAGGAAAAGGTCAACCCCCATTGTCCTTAGGTTTCCCCAGGAGGAGCTCACGGCTCAGGTCAGTGCGTGACCCTCGACCCTCGCTCTCCCCACGGCCTGGCGGGTTACAGGACAGGAGATCCTGCTCGCTCTGGCTCGTCTGAACTTGTTTTTCTGAAGAAAAGAATGTAGAGTGATAAGAAAGGAGGCGACATTTATAGTCACCAACATCTCATTTTCAGCATCCTACGTAATTCATCTAACCATTTCTCATCGTTTCGTACTAAGTAGTAGTCGACCAACTCACTTATCCAACATGGCTGAGGGGTACCGCCCTGGAGAACTCTAGCTCAGTCCTGGCAGCAAGAGTCAAACCCTCTCCCTAGGAATTTCCGCACACGAGGCCAGGAACGTAGTCCTTCCTTTGGGAGTATGAGCCCCCCACAAGGAGCGAGGCTGGGCCTGTGACAGTGTGTGTGATGTGGAGGAGGCTTCCCGGCTGGCTCCCATCCCGCTTCCCCTGACCGTGAGCACAGCTGCAGGGTCCCCCAGCCCGAGGCAGTCTGAGCGCAGGCTCACCAGGCCAGGCGGGCCAGGAAGCCCAAGAGGAGAGATGGAAATGCTGCTCCTTGCTTCGTGCCCCTGGGTGGGGTGAGTCACCCGGAGAAGGAGCTTCCTCCATTCAAATGCTACCATCCAGCAGATTGCCCCTTCCTACTGTGTTCTCTAAGGATCTCTGGTGCCATAGTTACCCATTGGGCTGCTGACTGCAAGGTCAGCTGTTCGAAACCACCAGTCACTCCTTGAGAGAATGATGAGGCTTTCTACTCTGGTAGAGTTAGTCTTGGAAACCCACAGGGATAGTTCGACCTTGCCCTATAGGGTCGCTATGAGTCAGTGTTGACTCACTGGCAGTGAGCTTGGGTTTTTTGGTAGGTCATAGTTGGTAGGAATAGTTGGTAGGTCAGTAAATACTTTGACATGATCTTACTAAATAAATTACTAAATTTCCTACCCAACCACATTATTATTTTTATAAATCATTTTATTGGGGGCTCGTACAACTCTTATCACAATCCATCCATCCATCCATGTGTCAAGCACATTTGTACATTGTTGCCATCATCATTCCCAAAACATTTGCTTCCTACTTGAGCCCTTGGTATCAGCTCCTCATTTCCCTCCCTTCCTCCCCAACCCTCTCTCCCTCATGAACCCTTGATAATTTGTAAATTAGTATTATCTTGTCATGTCTTACACTATCCAATGTCTCCCTTCACCCACTTTTCTGTTGTCTGTCCCTCAGGGAGGGGGTTATATGTAGATCATTGTGCTGATCACATTATTATCTCATTGTACAAACGATTGAATTAAAGCTGAGCAACACTCAATGAAGCTCAAATAAGGCTAGAAACAAGTTTCAGGCTCAAAGAGGTAACTGTAAGTTATTCTAAAATCAAAATATATGTAAATGTAATAAAGATGAGTCATCACTACTATCCCAAAGTACTTCAAAGACGTGTACAGCATAGCAATAGCACTCCCAAGTATCTGCTGGATGCTTCCTTCTGTTACCCAGGCCTACCTACACCTCCTTTACACTCTCACGGCCACTGCCGGTAGTCTCTTTTGGAAAAGGCAACTTTTCCGAAGGCACAAAGCACCTCCATTTGGCCTCATGGCAGGCCTTCTCGTACCTTTCGTCTGTGCTTTCCACTGTCACAGAGACCAACCAGAGGTCCCGTTGTCTTCAGGAGCAGTGGAAGGGTGCACTAGGGTGAGGGGACACGAAGGAGAGAGGCTGTCAAGGCCCTGCTGTCATCTGTTAGACGCCTCGAGGGGTCAGAAGAGTGAGTCTGCGGTGAGGATCGCAGGACCATCGGCGTGAGGTTTCCAAACGCACAGCGGAGGACTGCAGAAAACACAGGGCGAGCTACTGAAAATAACTGCCCGCCCCAGATGAAAGTCAGCATTCTCAGCTCCTTCGGGTTAAAAATAGACGGGAGGGACGTTGCTCCAGCAGCTGTGGGCAGGCCACACAAGTGGGGCCAGGGAATGGAAATCCGAGTTTGAGATTAGACTCGCTCGTGAAGTTTCTTGTGAGTTGTGACATCCATATTTATATGACGATGGAGTTAAGTCTACAGAGAGTCTGGTTCTTTCATCTAAAAGCAAAGCCATCTCCCCAGTGAGCGTGTTCTTCCTGTCTTTGTAAGTACGTGATGAATCTGTCAGTCGGAATCCTTTGATCTTCAAAACAGACACTCAGTTGGAAGTGTGAGAAAGAATAAGGAAAATGTATGGTGTCACCTAACGGACAGTAGGGAAGTCCCCGGGTGTGCGAGTTCAGTTGCTTAAAGGCCTAGACTCGGTCTTCTTACCTCTCTGCCATCCTTGGCTTATCTGGTTGTGTTTCTAACCAGAGAGACCTGTTGTCTACGTGATCCCAGCTCATCATGCTGCTGTAGGACAGGGTAGAACGGCCCCATAGGGTTTCCGTGGCTATAATCTTTATGATGCACGCAGCCACACCATGCTCCCTTTCAGCTAACAATGGAGCACTTGATTCCCGTGTCGCCAGGTCTCTGGGGTGACTGCAAAATAACGGTAGCAGCTCCACAAATTCTGTCTTCAGCCAACCCCGCAAGCCCAAGTATCCATAGGCCGACGAGAGAGCATTCCTTTCTGCTACCCCGACACGGAGGGAGGAACCGTTTCTCAAGGGTCCCAAACAGACCTTCTTTCATGCCCCCACTGGCTAGATGCCCATCAGGATTCCTAAGCCAGACACTGGCAAAAAGAATAAAATCACCATGGCCGTCTTGGACTCACCAGGATTCGCCCTTGGGCTCTCGTTTCCCTAGAACTCATCTTCTCTTGGTAACATTTTCCGAGCCAGGTGTCCTCAGAGAGGAAGACCGGAGCGAGAGGGTGCCCAGCAGCGTCTGCCCCATGAGAAGGTTGCTTAGCTCCACTGTTTCTCCTTATAGGCTCCGCCAATATAAACGACCGAAGCATGCTGGGAAAGCGTGACAGTGAAATGGCTGTCATTGTGCAGGACACAGAGATGATCCCTTCGGTGATGGACGGAGAGGAGTACCACGCTGGCCGCTTCGCCCATGGACTTCGGCTGCAGTGCTTTAGGTGGGCCCTGTGTACCTGTCTCTCCCACCAAGTGCCACTCCGTGGGCAGGGGGTCCCAGGCTCAGCCTTTTGCCACCCGCGTACAGTTTTCATCTCCTGACTCTTTGTCTAACACAGAAGTTCCCCGAGGACAGTAGTTGTACTACCATGTGCAAAGATGTTCTGCAGTACACAAATCAATTTTATTTTGATAGCTTTTATTACATTCATATATACTTTTAAAAAATCTACCATTTTAAGCCCATTCAATTGATGTAGGACCACGGCTAGGCAAACCATCTAGTCCCTATTTATGTTTTTTTAAAGTGAGCATTTGAAGATTAAAACAGTGCCAGTAACACAAGGATGTGATTAAAGCCATTCAAAGATCATTCCAGTGGGCACTGGTGTGAAATTTATGTGTGAGAACTCTGGGTCTCGGGTTGAAGGGGCTATGGAAGATGCCTGGTGTTCTGCAAGAAGAGATGTGAGTTTTAAACAAGTCTGTGATCAAACAAGGACTACTGGACTATGAACTTAGGGCCCTGTGACCCGAAGTGAGTCCATTCAGTAAAGCTATTCTGAGAACTTTCTAGATGTGAGCTCTAACCACCTGCCCCTGCACCCCCCAGCCGGTCTGGTCTGCTCTCCACAACACGGATCCGGCTCAGACCTAACCCAGACCGTGGATGCCACTCCTCTGCTTTGACACACACTCCTCTTACTCTTCTCCTCCCCCCTGCAGACACGCGTTTAAGAAACAAGTTGTTGTTGTTGTTAGGGGCTATGGAGTCCGTTCCACTCAGGGTAACCCACGCACCACTGATGGAAACACTGCCCAGTCCTGCACCAGCCTCACAGTTGTTGTCTTTGAGCCCATTGCTGCAGCCACTGTGTCCGTCCATCTCTTTGGGGGTCTTCTGCACTTTCAGTGACCCTCAGTTTTACCAAAGGTGATACCCTAACCACTTTCTTTTTGCCACACTGTGATTTCAGCGGGGCCCCTGCAGTGAAGCACAGCCCGTCTCTACATAGAGTGATGGGCGGTGCTTTCAATGGTGCCCCCAAAAAGCATCCGTGCACCGTAACCTTTCATGTGTTAATGACCACGTTGGGTTAGCAGCCCGACACGTAACTCACAATGCCACTGAGCTTGTATTTTCCATTGATAAGCTCTCCGTTCCTGGGCCATGTTTGTTACAAATCTGATTAGTTTGTTCCATGAGTCCTGTTTAGAATGATCGAGGAAAGTGTTAAAATCGGTAAAGAATTCTATCAGGGTTGGGTTTTTTGGTGTAGTTGTTACATATGATAGCTTCCCCATCTCCAGATAAAATGTATTTTCTACAAATGCTTCTTCAGTCTACTGTTTACATTTCACACCTGCAACTTATTTTTATGTAAGAAGTGAGGTGGGACTTTCAACTCCACTCCCACACACAGACTCACCAATACCCAAATGATCGAGACTCTGGAATGCTGTCTACTCTTTCCCTATCCAATCTGCAGTGCCCCGTGATGATGCACGGCATTCCCATAGACACTAGGTAGGATTTGCTCCTGGTGTCTCTGTTATGGTCTATTGAAAGTCTGTGTATTTGCATACCAGTGTGATACCAGGTTAATTCTTGTAGCTGCACACCTTAGCACTGGGAAGAGCTGCTGTTTGCCCCACAAATTCCTCTCATTAGTCGTCTTTTGCAGAATCATTTCAGTGCCTCGTAGATGTGCATTTGTCTATATAAACTTTAGAATTATCTAAGTTCGCTCAAATCCTGAATATATTTTAAAATTAAGCCTACAGTGGAATGATAGATGGATATTAAAAGAATTGGTATCTACAATATTGAGCCATGCTGTTGAAGAGCAAGGCACGGGCTTCAAACTCCTCAACGTCTTTATTGTTCAGTAGAACTTTAGAGGGTTCTTTTGTTGTTCCTTAGCGCATCACTAGAGCTTCTCTTTTATTTCTTTTTTTAACATGAATCCTAAAACTTTATTCTTGGATGTCTTGCTTTTCCTGGCAATTTTCAAACTGTCTTAACGAGGTTGCTGTTCTAGAACAATTATTCCCACCTCGCCCTAGTGGCAAGCACGGTAATATACAAGGGCCCCGCGAAAACCTGGTGGTGATTGAGTCTTTTTATCAAGATAAATATGGTGGCACCGGGACAGCCATTTTCTCACTTAAAATTTTTTTAAAAAGCACCTTCAATCCATTTTCCATCTGGGCTATTTTTGAATAGAAATAGAGACATTTTAAAGTGACATCAGTTCTAAAGAGAGACAGAATCAGCCAGCAGGGCACTGCCCCGAGTGTCCCAGCTCTGGGCCAAACAGTGCATCAAGTCTGAGAAGAGTCTGCACACTGCAGATGCAGCCAGCACTCAGCAGAACAGGGCAACGCTCCACACAACTCGAGCGCAGAACCATTTAAAGTGACAGACACGAGAAATGCAAAGAACAGACATAATCTTTTACGTTTTCCCTACTGCCTTCCTGCCTGTGGTGTGCAAAAGAGTTCATGAATAATTGCATTACACACCTCAACATGAAATCGGACTCATTCTAAAACCCAGGGTACTTTGCTTTGGTTGTCACTGTGCATTTTAATATAAATTTCTTAACATGAAGATACTGAGGGGAGAAGATAATTTACTGCTGAACATTGTTTTACTGAGTATTTTTGTCTATCAACACCCGTTTCAGCGTGGGCATGTTTGCCTCTCCTTTTGCTCCTATTGAAGAGCAAAGTCATGTAAGTGCTCTTCTCTGCTCCCCTGTCAGCTGGGTAAGCCTGACCCAAATAGAAGTTATTATTGTATTTGACTCATTGCCATAACTTGCACTGCCCTTCAAATCAGTGCAATGAAACTGTGCCTCGGCTCTCTATCCGTCGTCAGCATCTGTGAGTGTACAACAGCACTGATTCTTTTGAAAAAGCAATGCCTATGTTGTCAGGAGGCATCACTAGAAATAAGACATTGCGTTTATGAAACTAAGTCCTAAAATGGCCATGGTCCAGGTCCATTTATTTTAAACAGTTTTTAAACAATGAAAAAAGTGTAGATTAAAACTAAAGCAAGATGCCCATTTTCCCTCATCAAAATGCCTGAGTTTTTTCGGAGCTGATCCGATTGGGGATGCCTGCAGCGAATACATGCATTGGGACAGCCTATCGGGAAAATTTCCCTATTTTTTGACCTGGGACTTTTAATTCTGAAGTCTGTCCTCAGGAAATCATCATTAAAAATGACAACATATTATCTATTATGAATAAGTATTTTGGGTAGCCCTATTCCTACTGATATGCATTGGCTGCTAACCACCAGGCCAGCAGTTCAAAACCACCAGCTGCTCAGTGAGAGAAAGACAAGGCTTTCGACCCCATGAAGAGTTACAAGGCTTGGAAACCCACAGGGGCAGGTCTGCCCTGTCCTACCTGTGGGCTCTCTGTGAGCTGGAGCCAATCCACAAAAGTGAGTTTGGTATTCGGTTTTGGTTTTCTTCCTCCTAATGGAAAATTGGAAACCACCAAGAGTCTATAATGTAATCATTGGTTATTTAAATATAATAAAATGATTGGTTAAGTTTCACATTATGGAGAATTGGACAGCCATTAAAAAGAATGATATAAAACTCTGTTTATTTAAATAGAGAGTAGTAGGAAAAACAAAACAACAACAAAAACCTTCCACACTATTAAAACAAATGGTCACTTCACATCCCTCATTGTGCCCAGCCTGTCAAGTTCAAATTCGGCACCGTTCTCTTTGACAGAACACCGCACCCTTTGGGCTTCTCCGGCTTCCCTGGTTGCTCCTCCTCAGTCTCCTCACTGACCGCTGGGACACAGAGGTCAGCAAACTCATCGAAAACCCCGTGGGCCCTTTCCAGCAAGGCGTCATCTGGAGGCACTTCTCAATTGATACTTTTAGGCAGGTCTCATCTCCCAGTCTCCAGATTCATTTGTTCAACTGACCACTCATCTGTGCTACTTGAATGTTCAGTAGATGTCTCAACCCATTAGAATTGAACTCCTGGATTTCCTGCCCACCAACGGACTCTACCCGCAGAATTCTCCCACTCGGTAAAGGAAAACTGCAGTTTCCTCGTTTTTCAAGCTAGAAACCTTTGAGCCATCCTTGATGCCTTACTTTTGCTCATGGCCTTGATCCAATCTGTTGCTGACACCTGTAACTCTACCTTTATCTTGACTGCTGCCCCTCAGGCCCAAGCCACTATCTTCTCTCAGTTAAATGGCTACAGTGGCTCCTCACTGGTCTCCCGGCTTCAACCTTTGCCCCATACAGGTGTTCTCACTCCACAGCCATATTTCCATACGTACCTCAGGGGCTGTCGTTCTTCTGCTCAAATGCCCACAAGAAGCCTTGCAGCTATGCCCACAAGGTTCAGTTTTACAGGATCCAACTTTTAGAGGCATATCAGTGTTTGAGCTAGAATTCACACTGAGTCTATAGTTCTTCTTTCACTCATCTGACAAGTTAAAATAATACCAAAAAAGCCTGTTACAGTGAGAAAAAAATAATGGCAGTAAGACTCCCTGGTAGTGCTAAGGGTTAGGTATTAGGCTGCTAGCCTCAAGGTTAGTGGTTCAAGCCCACCATCCACTCCTCAGGAGACACATGAGGCTGTCCACTAGCGTCTCGGAAACTTCTCTAGGGTTTGTATGAATTGGAATTGACATACAGGCAGTGGGTTTGGTTAGCTTTGGTATTTACAGAATGTGAATAATATATCCCACCTACTTCACAGGATTAAAGTAGAAGTGCTTTTTAACCCTAAAGTTTTCTATACATACAATGGTTCTCATTTTCCAACATGACCTTTAAAACTCATCTGGTTTTACTTGAACTTTTCCTATTATTTCTAGTCCCCTATTTAAATATTATTAAAACAATTATTAAAACAATATTAAACAATATTAAACAAAAACTATTAAAACAATATCTAGTATATGACTTTTTTT